GACAACTTATTATCCCCTACATTTACGTGTTAATATGTGAAATTTTACCTTTTTTCATAGCATATATAACCATAAAACGATGAAATGGTAAGACTATTCCAAAAATTGTCCTTCTGCAATCAAAATTGTCCCTGTGCAACCAATCCAAATTTCTTTTTATTTTCAATCCTGGTTGCCCAGAACCTTTTTGCTACATTACTTTAAATCTTACAATCGTGGCTATATAAAGTCTGCACTTTTATTCCAGATGACGTCCCAGCTGGCGTGGTACTTTCACAATCGGTAGGGGGCGCTACAAACTGTGCAAGGGTCCGTCTGCACGGAGATGCCGACTACCAACCCTCCCTCATGACGACCTACACCAGAACATACCGGACCAGTGGTGGCAGACCTGTCTATGTTAGTGACACAAACAACCGAAACTTTCTTCACTTTGTCGAAGACTTAAAGCAATGGGTGATAGGTCCCACGATCGGAGAACGCAGCGGCTTCGCTTATGTCCGGAACTGCGCCATGGCACCTGACCAGATCAGGTCACCGTGGTACCTGTTGGCGGCGAATCAGTGGCAAGTCGTCTGGTCGGTTACTGCCAGCTGTGTTGGTAAGTATCATGTATCATACATTCCCCATTAAGGCTATCTTTTCGGTAGCGATTGTGTGCGTGTGTGTGTGCGTGTGTGTGTGTGTGTGTGTGTGTGTGTGTGTGTGTGTGTGTGTGTGTGTGTGTGTGTGTGTGTACGTGTGTGTGTGTGTGTGTGTGTGTGTGTGTGTGTGTGCGTGTCTGTGTGCGTGTGTGCGTGAGTGTTCGTCCGCCTGTCTACATCTACATGATTCGGGACAAAGTGCCTCACGGCGCATCACGTCCTGGGAGAGGATGTGCAGCTGGTGTGGCAGGTGGTGGTGCGCAACAAAAATATACAAACAAATGAAAAATGATCTATAAATAATAAATTGCAAAAGAAGAAACCGAAATGTGCAACTAGATACAAAAGCCACACCAGAAAACAGAAAATGACCCTACAGCTGGGTATTGGCGGAGAGGCCAAGGTAACTGGCCAATCCCGCCTTAAACACATCAAGGGATGTGCAAGATATGAGTGTACCTGGTGGTGTGTTCCACTCGATGACGGTTCGAGGGAAATAACTGGCTCTGAATGCTTCTGTCTTGCATGGGATGGTGATGAAGCGTGAGTGATGTCCTCTTGTAATGTTTGTGTTTTTGGTGAGAATGTTGTGTATAGGGATGGCTACCATGTGTCAACAATAACTCCAGAAGGCTTACATGGATTGTCTTGATATTTGGTAGGTTGGTTATGAGTACATGGCTTTTCGGTTCTGATATCTCTTGATCTGGACATGCTAGGGTCACGAATTTCGTTGTCTTCTGGAAAAAAATCGTTCAAGCTCGGTCCTCTTAGCAGCCTTTTCTTGAACTGCAAGGAAGAACTGGTTTTCTCTCATAGTAATTCTACCATTTCCTACCTAGAGATACTATATATCTTGTGTTATCTTTACTATTAGCCTGCCCAGAGTTACCGCTTCCACCCAACGGAAACAGAACAGAAGGTCATTTTCATGGAGACACAGTCACCTTTTCCTGTAATGAAGGCTACGAACTGATCGGTTCTGAAAACAGAACTTGCCAGACCAACAAGAGCTGGTCCGGTGCACAGCCTATTTGCTCCAGTAGGTGGCAGCTTTTAACATCATTGTATTGTAATTGTGTATTGGAATTGATAATCAAAAAGCAGTTACTCAAGCAAATGGATATGATTTTGGAAACGGTCAGACGTCAAGACAAGGATGATGTCTTGAAAAGGGAACAAAATTTCTCCTCTGGTCTCCTAGAGCCACTGACGAATGGTATACCTGAAACGTCTGACCGTTTCCAAAATCATATCCAGTTGCTTGAGTAACTGCTTTTTGGCGTATCTTATTACCTGTATGTCTAACCTTCACTGACAAATTGATAATCAGTTTGCAATATACAGTACAATACGTTGTAACTATGTCCTACTCCTGATTTGTAATGATGCAATGATGGTGACAAAAATATCTGCAAGTACCCTGTCATGAAAATCAATTTACACATTCTAGTAGCAATTTGTTGCTATCATCATTGTACAATAAAATATGTTCATTGCCCTGACGCCTGTGTTACAGGAAAACTCTGCCAACAAATGATGGTACCTTCTAACGGCAACATCAGCGGCGGTAGTTCTTATGGGGACGTCGTTACGTATCACTGTGACGCTGGATACGAGATCAGCGGCGATGAAGAACGAACTTGCCAGTCGGACCAGACCTGGAGCGGCACTCAGCCTACATGTGCCCGTGGGTTGTTTCTTTTGTTTCACATGATTATGTTTCGTTGAGTTTTCATATTTTCCGAATTAAAGTAGTTCAGTCATTTCTGTTTGGTTTGGTGTGCTTAGTTGATGTCTTTGTGGCCTCTGCAGCATAGTGACTGCAAGTAGCCTTTTATAACTAAAACTACCTAGCATCCTACGCCCTCTCTTAGGAAAACCCTGCCCAGAGCTACCGCATCCAACCAACGGCAACAGGACAGAAGGTCATCTTTACGGAGACACAGTCACCTTCTCCTGTAATGAAGCCTACGAACTGATCGGTTCTGAAAACAGAACTTGCCAGACCAACCAGAGCTGGTCCGGCGTGCAGCCCATTTGCTCCAGTACGTGACAGCTTTTAATATTGTGATATTGTAAATGGATTGATAATTAGTTTGGAATATACAGTACGATACGTTTCAACTATGTCTTGCTCCTTCTTTAGATATCGCAATGCTGGAGACAAACATATTTCAAATCTACTTGCTATCATCATTGTCCAATAAAAAAAGTTAATTGCCCTAACGCCGTTTTAACTGTGTTACAGGAAAACTCTGTCAGCCACTGATGGCACCTTCTAATGGCAACTTCTACGGCGGTAGTTCTTATGGGGACGTCGTTACGTATCACTGTGACGCTGGATACGAGATCAGCGGCGATGAAAAACGAACTTGCCAGTCGGACCAGACCTGGAGCGGCACTCAACCAACATGCGCCCGTGGGTGGTCTACTTTAAGTTTATTTTCCATGAAACTATCGTCTAGTTTTAAGATTTTTCCCAAATGAAGTTCCAATATTTCTTCACAGACTGTTACAACGTATTTAAATGGTATCTTGGAGCCTTCCTAACATAGAAATAACGCGTTCTGTTTCCTGTCACCTAAAGCACTAATGTACAAATCACATGTCACGTACACAAACCCCTTTTAACCCTCCGACACAACTAAGGCTTGAAGGTAATTAGTGGCGGGACCTCTCCCTAATCCCCATTTTAAGCTAGGCTCTCAATCACTGACTCTCTGACTGAGTTTGTATTCAGAGAAGCCACTTGGCAAATCTCACTGGGGCCACAGCAGGCTAGAGTGACTCGTCGAAAGCTCTAGGTGAGAACATTTCTTTCTGTTGGAACAAAATGTTTTAACTTTGAACACATCAATATACACATTTATGTAATCCCAGTATCTTATTCAACTGAAACAGCCGGACTGTCCACCTTACACGTGGTGATGATTGCCGTGGTGCCATCTGTGGCACTACTTGTACTGGGAGTAGTAGCGGGAATTCTGGGATACCGGCGCGGCAGAAAGAGACAAAGCGACGACAATGAATTAGAAGAGTTTGACTTTCATCCAGATATTCCAGGTATATGATATCATGACATACTTGCAGTTTTGCCATTCTTTTTTTCGGTACCAATGCGCAAAAACTATTGAGTAAATAGTCATGCTACATGTATGTATTACAAACAGGAAGCACGTATAAATCAATTAATTAGAAGTTGCGTTGCTAAAAGCTTAACTGACTTCACCTATTCTGTACGTATTTCATTGATACAAATGCATATGTTTTGTATTGTATTCAATAAAACAGAAAAGTGGGTATATTGATGATGTAAACTGTTGAATTACACTGTGAGCCCTGTTGAAGACACTCATAATGTTGTTTCACTGCTTTTGTTCCCAGATGTAAAATTAACAGATTTGGACAAACCACCACCCCCGCCTGTGCGGGCTCGGCCACAGTTCCTGGAGTACGAGGTAAACCCGACTGATCTGCGACTGAATAAACAGATCGGCAGAGGGGCCTTCGGTATCGCCTTCCTCGCGACTTTAAAGAGAGCTGTTGATGGTCTTCTCACGGAACAAACAGTGGTGACCAAAACTGTCCGTGGTAAGTCAACGTCAGCTGGTTATTACGATACTCTATCTCACTAACGCCAGGAGCTTCATTGATTATTTTGCCACACGTCTTCAAGTCAAGGCGCGAGGATGCTGCCGTCAAACTCTTCACACAGATGCTACGAGAAGATCATCCCCTATATGACCTTGTCTCTCTCTCCAGATCTACAGCTACCGGCCGTTCACTCAGGAACAAAAACACTATCTCTATCCCCCGCGAGAACAAAAGACTACAGAACTCTTTCCTCCACCAGTCAATCAGACTCTATAACCAGACTGTACAGATAGAGTATGGCACAAGATAATGGACCTTGTAAATATCTGGGTTGTACACCTACTGTACTGTTTTTTTAGTTCCTGTAAATATATAATTTTTGACATTTTATCTTGTAAATATTAACGCCATTCAGGCAACATTGAATGTCATGTTTGTTATGTTTGATATCTTAATAAAGAATTGAATTGAATAATGGCTGAAAGCATGACACACAGCACTTGAGCAGAGGAATTTAGCCTTCGGTATGATCCGGCCCAAATGCAAAACAAGCACTCTACCCCCTGAGCTATTGCACCGGTGAAGCTTCAGTAACTGTATCAACAATGAAAGATTTTTGTTAAATTTGCAGAGAACGCGAGAGAAGAGGATATACAGAATTTTATACAAGAGGTCGACACCACCATCACCCTGAGGGGCCACATCAACCTGCTCGGTCTTGTGGGCTGTTGCACACTGTCCCACCCCCCCTACCTGGTGACGGAGTACATGCCGTATGGAGACCTTAAGAACTTCCTACTCAAGTGCAGGAAGGTAAATGTATATACCATCCGTTTATAGCTATGTAACTTTAATGTAGATATCTTTGAATTTGTTCTTATTCTGTCAGTAATGGTTAAACTATCAGAAAGCTGTTGTCTCTATTTTGTTTAATGAATAATCATAATGATGTGCAACTGGAAGTTTATAAAACTACTTGTAAAGTTATCTGTCAAATTTGTTGTTATCAGCCACCCATTTCAACATTTCAACTTGTGTGTATGGCTCGATAGATCTAGAAACTGTTGTCCCATTTTACTTAATGTATTTCATTGTTTTGCTTGCTATGCAATTATTTGCGATTTCGCAGTTACCAAAAGTTAGTGTCTGAAAATGAAATGTCCCTTTGGAGTTTGTGGTTTGTCAGCCATTGTAATACATTATGATGAAGCCAACTTATGTTCATGCTGACTCTTTCCATGTAAATCTACAGTTGAATGAGAGGCTCCAAGACAGCATGTATGACTTCGACGACATGAAGATCTACCAGGTAGCACGGCAGATAGCAAACGGAATGGTAAGCAGACAGTCCACACACAATATTATCACTGAGAACACACGCATATATACTGTATTTATAAGACACAGCCTTGTAAACAGAATGATCTTATATCATACGCCTAAATGCTCTGAATTCTATCATGAACTGCAAAAGCACATTCTCATCCCATACCACACACTTTATAGGCAAGATTAGTCTCATTGTTTGTTAGCAGTAGATGCCAATTTTTTTTAACCTTGTACAATTGTTGTGCGATGGCGTTTAGATGTTTACTGAGGAAGACCAGCGTGACTGGTCGAAAGCTCTAGTTGAGATAATTTCTTTGTGTTGCAATTGGATCAAGTTTTAACTTTAAATATGAAAGTATCATAGATGAAACTTCCATTTTTATTTGTTTGTTGACCACGTTCATACATGTACAATAATTTCACACATGACGTTTGCACTTTTTGAATTGTATGTTTTCTGCCTTTCTCTCTTGAATCAGACTTACATTTCCCAGGCTGGTTACGTGCACGGTGATCTGGCCGCCCGGAACGTGCTGGTAGGAGAGGACCTGGTGGTGAAGATCGCAGACTTCGGCCTGACAACAGACATCTACGAGCGAGGCTACCAGCGGCAGGACGCGGAGCAGAAGATCCCCCTGAGGTGGATGGCGCCGGAAAGGCTAATGCGAGAGGGCCGGTACACAAGCAAGAGTGACGTGTGAGTAGTTATTGCTTTGGTTTGTCCTAGATTTAGGTTCGTATACTAACTATAGTCTGGAAAAAACAAACTTGAAAGCATGAGCAAGCTGGTGTCTACAATCTGATGTTGTCGATGTAGTTAGTCTCTCCCGGCTACTTTGGCCTTTTGTAGGCTCCCAAAGGAAAGCTTGGATGCTCCAATGTGAGGATGTCTGACACAGTGTGCAGCTAGCTTCATTTTGCGTGTTTTAATTTTCTCTGTAATTACAGGCAAATCATGATATGATACGTCTTTTTTTGCATAATTCATGATCAAATCTAATTCTCACGCCCAGTTGGTCCTTCGGTGTGGTGCTGTACGAGATCGCTACGCTCGGGAACGTGCCCTATCCTGGTCGGGAACGCACGCTCCTGGAGGAACTCCGCACAGGGTACCGCGAACCACGCCCGCCTGGCCTCAAACAAGAGCTGTTCGTGAAAGAGACTATTATTTCATTTTTATTTCATTCACATTTGTTTTTTGAGAATCATTGAAGAGCAGCATGGTGGTTTCTAAGAGGCCCTCCTCACAAATAAGAGTAAAATCAACAAAAATAACGGTGACAATAATGAGTTATAAAAAAAGCAACCAAAAACTAACTTTGGTGAAACATAAAGCTCGTGTTCAGAAACTACAGGTTAAATAAATTTTAGTAGTATACTCAGTGATGATAGATAATTACTCTTTTGCAAGCAAAATTGTGGTGAAATCAACCTTGTGTCTTTCGTCTACTCCAGTTACAAATTGTAACATTACCAATCACCGATGACTTACACATATTATAAATAACCAATAGGTACGACATGATGCTGCGGTGCTGGCAATGGGAGGAAGATGATCGCCCGGAGTTTGAGGAGCTTTACGATGAGCTGGACGCTGTGGTAGAATTGATGGCCGAGGACTACGTCAAACCCGGTTCCAGCTCCCCAGTGGGGGGTAAGAATGAGGCAGCAGAAGCTCTTGAAACCTCGTACGACGTCCCAAAGTCGGGCCGGATGGGGATGCAACTCCGCGTCACTGCAGACGTCTACAACAGCGAAGATCGTGATGAAGTCGACTCACTCGCGTCCTCCAATGCAGAATCCAGTTCCACGCCAATAGAGAAGGCAGAATACAGCAGTTAACAAGTGCAAGGCCACGCAGCAAGACACCCTCTCGGAAAGTGAAGACCACGACCAACTACAAGTGGAATCCTCCATCCCACCGGGTGCAGTAATTATGAATACCAACGACAGTTCCACCGACTCCGAGCTGCCAGAGCCAGCGAATGTGCAGAAAAGTGAAACCCCGGCTACAATTGAGGACAACACCGAAGATGCTTAAGAAGAAATGCCTTCAACAACAGAAGAAACTGTGCATTATTTCTAATGGCTTATTTTTACAGAAGTCAGTTCTATCTACAGGATGCATTACTGTTTTGAAAATGCATTCATTAACAATAGAGAAGGAATCTTTATCCAGAGTTTCAATATTGTGCTGTACATATTAACGGCTGGTTACATGTTCTCGTTGTAAGCTAGTACCATTGAAGTCTATGCTAGTCATGGTTGATTATGTAGTGAATATGTTAGTTTCAAAGTATTTTCGTGTTAAACATTGACAAACGTGCTATTCAAATCAGATATAGCATAGACGATTGTATTAATTTCAATTTTAATTTTTTTAGAATCTTACGTAGACATTTCTGTCTGTATTTTATCCAAGTGTTTTGTCTTCTAATGGGACTTTCCAGGCTGTCGGATTTTTCTGTAGATGTTTGGTCCCCTTTTATTACAGAATCTTAATTTGCATAATTTGGTGTTTTCTTTTCCAGTAGTTTAAGGTAAGATGCCACGGAGCCGTGTAAGAATAGATTAGAGACTGTGCATAGAACTAGTCCAAGTGTCTTCAGGATAGCTATCAGGTATATCGCAAGGATATATACACCTTATGCATCTACTACAGTTTCTACATCAAGTTGATGTGTATAATATTGTATATTGAGATAGATCCTGTTTCTAAAGCCAAGAACGATATGATATAAGCATGGATAGGATAAACTTGTTTATGTTTATTGTTTATTAGAAACTCCATTAAGTAAAAAAATAA